AGGAAAAAAGCTGAAGTCACAGTCCAAAGATAGGCAGGAAGAATTCTCCCTTATTTGGGGGAGGGTCAGCTCTTGTGTTCTAATCAAGCCTTCAATGGATTGGGTGAGGCCCACCCACATTAGGGCAATCTGATTTCATCTATGGGATTTACATGTTAACCTTACCCAAACCCTCAGAGAAACACCCAGAATAATGTTTGACCAAATAACTGAGCATGCTGTGGCCCAGTCAGATTGTTACATAAAATTAACCATCATAGCCAACAATACCAGAAGCTAAGAGAAAGGCACGGCACAAATTCTTTTCTAGAGACTTCAGAGAGAGCATGGTCCTGCTGATGCCTTGATGTAGCCTCCAGAATCATGAGAAAACAAATTTCTGTTTTAAGCCACCCCCGTTTGTGGTACTTCATTACAGAAGCTGGAAACTGATACACTAGGCTTCTGATGTATTTTCTCCTAGTTATTTCCATGTACAAATAATCACAGCTGTAGATTTTTGTCTTGTGCTACACTGCAACAGAGTAGCCACCAACCACATACTATGGATGGCTATTGACTTCAAATGTAATTTATTAAAATTACTAACATTAAAAAGGCCAGCAGGCTCGGCGCCTATAGCTCAACTGGCTAAGGCGCCAGCCACGTACACCTAAGGTGGCGGGTTCGAATCCCCAGCCTGGACCCGCCAAACAACAATGACGGCTGCAACCAAAAAATAGCCGGGCGTTGTGGCGGGCGCCTGTGGTCCCAGCTACTTGGGAGGCGGAGGCAAGAGACTCGCTTGAGCCCAGAGTTGGAGGTTGCTGTGAGCTGTAATGCCACGGCACTCTACCCAGGGGGACAGCTTGAGGCTCTGTCTCAAAAAAAAAAAAAAAAAAAAAAAGGCCAGCATTCTGGGAGGCCCAGGCAAGTGGATTGCTTGAGCTCAGTAGTTCAAGACCAAGTTGAGCAAAAGTGAGACACTGTCTCTACTAAAAATAGAAAAATGGAGGCAAGAGGATTGCTTGAGCCTGAGTTGGAGTGTTGCTATGAGTTATGACACCATGGAACTCTACTCAGGGTGACAGCTTGAGACTCTGTCTCAAATAAACAAAAAAACCAAATTCGGTTCCTCAGTTGCACTATTCATATTTCAAGTTTAGTGGCCACCTTGTTAGATATCTCAGGGGTATCCAAACTTTTATTTTCTCTGCCACACATTATATGAAGAAACATTGTTTTGGGCCACACATTAAATGCACAAACACTAACAAAAGCTGATTAACAAAAAAAAAAGTCTATGCACATATTTCATGATATCTGATACCACATATAAACAGAAAAAAGTCCTAACAAAATCAGCATGCAGCCCACAGGCTACAGATTGGATACCCTGTCATAGATTATAAAACATTTCCATCAGTTTGAATATTTCCAATGTGCAAAGTTCTACTGGTTAGCCTCATAGATCACAGCAACCTCATACTCTTGGGCTCAAGCAATTCTCTTGCCTCAGCCTCCCAAGTAGCTGGAACTACAGATGCCTGCCACAGTGCCTGGCTATTTTTAGAGATGGGGGGGGTCTCACTCTAGCTCAGGCTGGTCTTGAACCTGTGAGCTCAGGCAATCTGCCTACCTTGGCCTCCCAAAGGGCTGGGATTATAGTCATGAGCCACCTTGCCTGGCCTAGTCAGTTTTCTTTTGCAATAATATTATATAGCAACCCCAGAATTTCAGTGGTTTATAAGAACAAACATCTTTCTTGTTCAAAAGTCCATGGGGCAGCTAAAACATTAAATCACAGTTTGGTTGGACTGGGCTCCAGAGTGCAATTTCAATTTGGATGTCCTCTGGGTATCTTTCTTTTCTTTTCTTTTTTTTTTGAGACAGTCTCACTTTGTCGTCCTCAGCAGAGTGCGGTACATCAACCTCAAGTGATCCTCTTGCCTCAGCCTTCCAGGTAGCTGGAACTACAGGGACCACCACAATGCTCGGCTATTTTTAGTAGAGACGGGGTCTTGCCCTTGCTCAGGCTGGTCTTCAACTCCTGAGCTCAGGTGACCCACCTCCTTGGTCTCCCAGAGTGCTAGGATTAGAGGCATGAGTCACTGCACCTGGCCTCACCATGTTTCTCTTTATCTTTTTTTTTTTTCTTTTGCAGTTTTTGGCTGGGGCTGGGTTTGAACCCACTACCTCCGGCATATGGGGTCAGCACCCTACTCCTTTGAGCCACAGGCGCTGCCCTATCTCTTGTCCTCTTTAAATGTGTGTGGTCTTCTCATGACTAGTAGCAGAAGTGCCAGAGAGCAGTCTCACCACATGAGCACATTTCTGGTTGAACCACATTCAATAATAGTCTACTGTGCCACACAACCAAGCCCAATATCAATGTCTACAGGTCCTACAAAGATACATGGCAGCTGGTATAGACGTATAATCCCATTATAAAGTACCAAAGAGGCTCAGCGCCTATAGCTCAACGGGCTAAGGCGCCAGCCACGTACATCTAAGGTGGCGGGTTCGAATCCCCAGCCCAGACCCGCCAAACAACAATGATGGCTGCAACCAAAAAATAGCCGGGCGTTGTGGCGGGTGCCTG